CCATGTTTAGGAGAATTAAAAATATACCAAACTTTTAGAATTCCTTTTGTTTTATTTGTTTAGCAGTGAATTTATGTCTCCCATTAAGATGTGCTCTTGGATTATGTTATCAATTAGGAGGGGAGTGGTACAAAACTTTATCATTACCCTCATTTGGCTGGGTAACTGGAGTAAAATGAAGGTGTGTCAAACCCTAAATAAACTTGTCCTTGAGGAAGAGACTGTTTTTTAAGAAATAATTAAATTCTTCAGTTATTAAGAACTACAAGAGGTTTATTCATACTGCCTCTAAATATCTTGTTAGCATTTTAATCTGTTTTCAACACACCAAATATGTATAATTTATGATTTTTTAATTTATCTATATATGTGCTATCTGATAACATAGCCTTGAACCATACATGGATATTTGAATTTAAATTAAATTAAATTAAATATTTCATTTATCAGTATCACAAGCCACATGTCAAGTGCTCCATAGCCACTAGGAGTTTAGGGAGTACTGTATTAGACTTAAGGATCTAGGCTGTTTCTATCATTATAGAAAATTCTACTGGGTATCTCTGGGCTAGGTATTTTTCAAACTGAAGTCCAGGTCCCTGTTTTCCAGATTACTAGGTAATTTTAAATATAAAAACCATAACAGAAAAGATCAAAATTTCTGTTTTGAGTCTCTAAGTAGTAAATTTTATAAAATGAAAAATTATGTAATTGGTCTTCCATTGTTTCCCTGAGCCAAGGGCTAAATAATCTTAGACAATAAGCTTTCCATAGTTTTGCTCATGACCAAGAAGGATCTGCTGACATTTTTATAAAAAGCCTGGAATTTCAAATGCTGAATAGAAGCTTAGTGGGAGGAGAAATTTCTGGATGGCTTACCCATTTATTTTGTTTTGGGTTATTTTGGAGAGGGGTCATAGTTTGTAGAACGAAATCTTTGAGAACCCACTATTTAGCAAATTTCTGGTGAGAAATACTAAGGGAAATCAGGCATGTAATTTAAAGGTTCATATATACATGCATATATTTGTAAAACTATCACATGGATTGCAGTGGCAGAAGAATAGAATTGCTAATTATCTTTCTAAGTTGATGAATTTTTTGCACAATGCTTTCTTTTCTTTGCAAAATGTTAAAACAAGATCACAAGTAATTGTTTCTCTTTGGAATGCTGGCCAAAATTTCCAGCCAAGTAATAAATTGCAATTATTCTATGCTGTTTTAAAATGAATATCCTTCTATACGTTAAAGCTATCATTTCTTGAATTAATGTCATTTTAATCTATATTTAGGCAATGACATTGTGTCTGGGTAGGTCTATGTGGACAAAGTATAGACTAAAAGTCCGAAGCCTTACTTTGGACCCCTAATAAATAGGCTTGATGATTATGACTTTTTTTTTTCTCTTCCTTCTTCTTTCATTTTCACCTCTCAAATCCAGCTTACTCACACGGTTGTTGTTGTTGGTTCTGTTTGATCCAACTCAGGGACCTTATGTATAACGGTAGTAAAAATGGCCTGGTCCTGCATGAAACACAATGATAATTGGTGTGTTTTTTAGTCCATTGTTGTGGCTATTGTGTCAATCCATCTTATTGAGGGTTTCCCTCATTTTCATTGGCTCTCCATTTTACCAAATATTAAGTCCTTTTCTAGCAATTGGTCTTTCCCAATTGTGTCCAAAGTACGTGGGAAGTAGTCTCACTCTTCTCACTCTAAGGAACATTCTGATTGTATTGCTTCTAAGATTGATTTATTCTTTCTTTGGCAGCCCATGGTATATTCAGTATTCTTTGTCAACATCATAGTTCAAATGCATCAATTCTTCCATTTTCCTTAGACACACTTAGACAGGGTATAAATCTTAGACTTGACCATTAAGTGTGTTTGTGATCTCTTTACTGAAGAGGCACCGAGCCGACAGAAGTCTATTTTGTCTGTAGACACTTCTCCAAAGAGGATATTCAGGCAGTCAGCAAACACATGAGCAGAAATTTGTCATCATTAGTCATTAGAGAGATGCAAATCAAAACAATAATGGGATACTATGTCACCCTAGCACTAGTGGCAAAGTTCAACAAGACAGAAAATAACAAATCCTGGTGAGGTTGTGGAGAGATTGGGACTCTCATACACTGCTGGTGGCACTGTAAAATGATATAACCATGGGGGAAAAAAAAGTATGGTGATTCTTTAAAAAGTTGAAATTAGAAACACCATCTGATCCAGCAATCACATTACTAGGTGTACAGCCTAAGGAAGTGAGAACCAGGACAAGAACAGATATATGCACACCCATATTCATTGCAGGCGCTCTGGTAGCATAGTGCCTAAGGTATTTGACTGCTAACTAGAAGCCTGGCGGTTCAAACCCACCAGCCACTCCTCGGAAGGAAGATTGGACAATCTACCTCTGTAGTGATACTGCCTTGGAAATCCAAGGAGGGTTCACTATGAGTCGTATCCAACTCGATGGAAGTGAGTATGTTCATTGCAACATTATTTACAATAGGAAAAAGAAGGAAACAACATAAGTGCCCATCAACAGAAGAATGGATAAGCAAACTACGGTACATACAGACAATGGAATAGTACACAACACTAAAGAATAATGTGTTGTTGTTGTTATGTGCCGTCGAGTCGGACCTGACTCATAGCGACCCCTCCTTGGGTTTCCAAGGCAGTATCACTACGGAAGTAGATTGCCCCATCTTCCTTCCGAGGATTGGCTGGTGGATTTGAACCACCAGCCTTCTGGTTAGCAGTCAAGTGCCTTAGCCACTATGCTACCAGAGCTCCCACCACATAACATAGAGGGACTTGCATCACATTATGCTGAGTAAAATAAGTCAATGACAGAAGGACAAATATTGTATTAGTTCATTATTGTAAAAAAGTATTTTACAATAACCATTAGAGGATAAGAAACAGGATGTCGAACATCTAAAACATTAAAAAGAAGAAAAGGATTAACAAAATCAATCCAATATAAGTCAAGGACAGGTTGGGGAAGAGAAAAACAAGAAAAGTTGGCAAATAGAAACAAAATTAGATGGCAGGAACACATTCAAATATCAATAATAAATGAATAATTTCATCTAACTTAAGACTGAGGCTCTCAGATTAGATTGAGGAAGCTAATCAGAATGTTGTTAGTTGCCTATTCCTACTCGTGAATCTGTTCCAACTCCTGGAGATCCTGTTTGTACAGAGTAGAATTGTACTCCATAGTGTTTTCAAGCTATAACCTTTCAAAAGCAGATTATAAGTCCTGTCTCCCTAGACACCACTGGATGGGTTCAAATCACCAACCTTTAGGCTAGTAATTGAGCAATAACCATTCATATCATTCAGGGACCTTTAATCATAATTAATTTTTTTCACTTGGCAAAGAGATAAATTTTATGTTAAAGAAAAAAATAGAGTCTATTTTGCATGGAAAAATAAAATAAATCTTCACTTTCAGCAAAGCAGTTGTTCCTCTCCTCTGCCTTTCTAACAAGTTTTAGGGCAAACTTAACATTCTTGGGCTTTCCTGCTTCTGAAGAATTACCAGTGTCCCAGGCCCTCAAAGTATGCCAAAGCCCCAGTGTATGCAAAGGCATTGGGCACTCATTGCCCTAATCCTCAGATCACTCTGAGTGGTGTGGTCCCTTCAGAACCAGGGATGTTCTCTGCTACTGCAAAGCCCAAGAGGCTTCCTAGAATCCTTTCTTCCCGCACTAGAGTTTGTAAAGTGATGTGGTCATAGTCTCATTCCATCATGCACATGCTTTGGCCTTCAGAATGTTCTTTCATTCTGTTTAATAAAAATCAGGTACTAAGGTTTAAAAATCAGAGAATTTAACTTATTTCTGACTTTTTTTTTTTTTAATTTACAAACTATAAAATGTGGAAATCTTTGCACATAATTCTTGCTTGAACAAATCCATTGTCTCTGGTGGCATAGTGCCTAAGGCATTTGACTGCTAACCAGAAGGCTGGCAGCTCAAACCCACAAGCCACCTGTCAGAAGGAAGATTGGGCAATCTACTTCTGTAGTGATACTGCCTCAGAAACACAAAGAAGGGTCGCTGTAAGTTGGATCTGACTCGACAGTAGTGAGTTTGGGTTGAGTTAGAACAAATTAGTGATAATTCACTCCACTCAGTTCTTCTCAATCTCCACATTCCTTTTTGTCTCCCAAATACCCAGTTTCAATCATTCCATTAACTGCTTGACCTTTGTGAATTGCACCTGATAGTTGATGCCAAATTAAGAAAAAGACTCTGCCTATTATGATCAGTGTTAGTCTTTGGCTGCAGGTTTTTCCTGGGGATTCTGCCTCTCCTGGATAAGGTAGCTTCCATTCAACCAAGAGGAGTTCTCCAGAGAGGGGAGCAACCCTCATTAGAGACCAACAGCTGGGGTATAAGGGCACTTTCTTGGTAAAAAGAATCTACATAGAGCACCAACAGCAGCTGCTATAGTATATGAAATCTGTTATTCAGCAGGAAAGAGGAGAGAAATTATTTGGGACATAAAAATCATTTAATTGTGTAAGTTTTGCATTAAGTATTTGTTATTGTTGTTTTGGGGTGCTATTGAGTTGATTCTGATTCATAGCAACCCCATGTGACAGAGTAGAACTGTCAATATAAATTGGATTTAATAAAAATTAAACTTTCATATTTTCATTTCCTAGCACCATATAAATACTTGACATGATACTGATTTTGTTTGGAGTGTGATATACACAATTTTATGTGTACATTGGAGTACCTAGCAAGTGCATATGTTTACCAGGCTCAGCTGCTAACCGAAGGATGGAGGTCTGGGTCCTCTCACAGGTGCCTTAGAAGAAAGGCCTAGTGATCTGATAAATCAGCCAATGTGACTACGAGTCACAATCGACTCAACAGCAAATGTCTTTTTTTTAAATGTGTACAGCTATGTAAATATCTGTGTCTCATGAGAGAAACCAAATTCTTGAATGTAACAAGTGTTCTGTTAATATTTAGCACCAGCCCAACTGAGGTCTCCTGTCGTCAAAGGAGTCAACAGCACGACCATCCATCTTAGGTGGCTTCCGCCTGAAGAACTGAATGGACCCATTCCTATATATCAGCTAGAAAGGAGAGAATCATCTCTAGCAGCTCCTAGGGCCACAATGATGAAAGGAATTCGTTTTACAGGGAACGGGTATAGTAAATTTCCCAATTCCACTCTGCCGGTCAATACAGATTTTACTGGTAAGTAACCATGGTTGACAGTGTTTTATTTAAGAGGCACTGAGTCCCATGGTGTTTTCTATGATTTTTATATCCCTTTACAATGAAGTTTTACTATGCCTTTTTATAGAAATAGTAATTAAGTCTTTCAACAAATTTAGCCCAATTGTATCAGTATACCCATCTTTTCAGTGTTCTGGGGGAAACATGTAAGTGGAGGAAAGGAAAGTGAAAAAAGAAAAGGAAAGGAAGCCCAGCCCAGTTGGATCAAAGTATGCACTCAAATGTCACTAACCGCCTCCCACAAAAAAAAACCCCAAACTCACTGCTGTCAAGTTGTTTCCAACTCATTCATACACTATTTACCAAAATGTCTCCAGAATATTCATCACTGCTCTTTGGGAAAAAGTGTTTGGGTAAATGGATTTTGAGAAATGTTGCAAAGTATTTGAGACATTTGAAGGCTTTTTATTAAAGCCACTAAGATAATACTATCATATTCTGTTGAAAGCATATAAACCAAAACCAAACTCACTGCCATCGAGTCGTTGAAAGCATACGGAAGAACTAAATTCACAGAAAACTTATGGGCCAGGATTGGGTGGGGTGAGTGATATAATGGCTTCATGCATAAAATTTGGAGGCACCAGAAAACTCAATAATCAAAGTAAATAATATTTTAATGTAATATTTTTAAAAAGTCAAAATCAATATAAAAAATCATGATGAAGAAAATATCAAAATTTTAAATTAAGACAGGCTCTAACCCTGCACTTGCAAGACCTACCTCACTTAGCCTTATCCTACTCCTGGTCCTATCAGCTATTGGTACTATAATATGCTGGAATATGTCTACCTCTATGAATTAGTTTTTAAAAAGCACTGTTTCAGTATAGATACAGAAAATTACAATTATTTCTAACTTTGTTAACTTTTAAATATAAATATTCTATAAACTCATAAAACTATTAATATAATTAATGAGAGTCATTTTGTAGCAAATTGCTATTCTTAACATATTGAATATATTTGGAGCAATGAAATGGAATTTGAGCTATAAAATGCAGCTCAATTATCATTGTTTTATTTTTATCTAAAATGGTAAATAGTTTCTTTTGTGTAAGGCTGCATGTTGATGTACAATTGTAATGAATCATGATTTTGTTTCAGCTGAGCTATATTGAGATTAATTCAACCTACTACTTGCCCTGTGCATCAAAATCATCACTGAATATTGGCTAATTCAACTACTGAACTCCCTTAAAATGTTCTGGGTCTGTTTAATATTCTTTAATGAGCAAAAAAAAAAAAGAATATGTGGATGAAAAATTAAAAAAAAAAAAATTATTTTTTCCAAATGGAAATAGCAACTACCTCCCTGGGCCAATATTTGGCTCGTGATATGTTTCTTCAAGGAGACAGCATTCGTTTCCATTCAGCTGGGTGTAGCTGCTATAAGGATGTCAGCTTGGATTTGCCGGCTAGCCAGTAGACAGATTTTTGATGGGATCACCTACTGTTGTAGCAGTGAAAGATAGAGTGGCCCGTCCACCGTTAATAAATTTAGTCGTCCTCACTGTCTCCCTTGCCGGTGTTATACTCGGAGGTGCAAGTGCTAGGGGCAGATGTAGTGTCTGGGAAGTTTTCCAAATTCCTCTTCAAAAAAGTTAGACTGTAAACGGCGGCCTCATGAAGCAGGATCCTTCTGTCTTTAACAAAGACTCCAGATGCACAGAAAATGTGCTTAGAGTACACGTCAAGTGAAGGACAAGCCAGCGAGATCACGATGTTGGCTTTAACTACTCCCTTGAGCTTTGGTGATTCCTAGAGAATAAGAGTTCTTCCTGTGTTGACACACCCCTGAGCATTGTTGGTGCCTTTTTATAGGTAGCTTTGCCTTATGTTTAAGGTTCCCTTTTATTTGTAAAGTAGCCAAGTCTACATTGAGTTTATTGGCTTGATTCTTTGGCTCAATTGTCAGATTTGGTTGAGTATATAATTTTATTGAGTTGCATCATAGTTTAACTAAATTTACCTAATTAATCACCTAAGGCAGTTTAATGAAACTGAAGAGTTTTCTCTAAATGTGCATGTTTTCTATGTAGAGAAGTTAAGTGTGTAACTAACATCTTGCATTTAGTTTACTAGTAAATTATCTCATTCCATTCCTCTTCAGCCCTATAAGATAGATAATTTTACCCTCATAGTACAAGAGGGATGAGTCTCCACTAAGTACCTTGCTCAAGGTACCACAGCTACTGAGTTTCAGGGCTGGAATTTGAATTGGAGATATCTGATTCAAAAGCTAGTGTTCTCCCATGGGGGAGAAAGGAGCATATGTACACAGTGTTTTAGAAGTTGTAGATAAGAAGCATATAAAAGTCATAAACAGGGATGGGAGGTGAAACAATGATAACTAAATATTCCTTACCCACTACTGCTCAGCTTCTTTGGGTTTGTCTCAATGGTTGCTAGCTTTCCAGATAAAATAAATAAATAAATAATTGAAACTCACTGCCATTGAGTCGGATCTGACTCATAGTGAGCCCACCTTGGGTATCCGAGGAGCTATCACAACAGAAGTAGATTCCAGAACCTTCCTTCCGAGGAGTGGCTGGTGGGTTTGATCTGCCAGCCTTCTGGTTAGCAATCACATGCCTTAAGCATTATGCCACCAGAGCTCCCAAGCTTTCCAGGTAGCCAACAGTTAAATAGTGTTGGCTTTGTTTACTTGCATCCCAAAAGACATCTGAGGAACTGTACAGTAGGGCAAAGAAAGTTTTTTTTCCCTAGCAATTAATTCAAAGTGTTAGTATAAGATAGATGTGTAAGATCTAAATGAAATTGTTAAGTGGACTAAAGTGATATGTGTCATTGTTTCACTTTTCATTGTATTTTAAGCAGTCTTTATATTCTCAGGCAAACATAATGACTATAAAACAAATTTAAAAATAATAATATCCAAACCCACTGTTGTCAAGTAGTTTCCAACTTACAGTGACCCTTCCTTGGGTTTCCAAGGTGGTATCTCTACAGAAGTAGATTGCCCAATCTTCCTTCCAAGGAGTGGCTGGTGGGTCTGAACCACCAGCCTTCTGGTTAGCAGTCAAATGCCCTATGGGCTACACCACCAGAGCTCCCATAATGACCATGGAACATGTAATTAATTCACTTGGAAAACCTCATAATTGCTGGAAGAGACTTGACTTTTTTAAAAAAAAAAAAAATAAAGCATGTATAATAATTTTTCTAAGACCTATTTTTACTCCATCTGTATAATACAAGTGTTCTTCCAAAAATGAATCTCTAAGAAGTCTGTATTACCGGTCATTTACACCATAGTATAAATTTAATACTCTGGTGCATAGTGCCTAAGACATTTGACTGCTAATCAGGAGGCTGGCAGTTCAAACCCACCAACCCCTCCTTGGAAGGAAGACGGGGCAATCTACTTCCAAGGAAATACTGCCTCAGAAACCCAAGGAGAGGTCGCTGTGAATCAGATCCGACTCGAGAGCAGTGAGTCTGGTTTGTATTTTTTTTATTAACTTCCCACTGCTATTTGACTAAGAACAAGAGCTTCGAAAGCAGAGTGACAAGTGTCAAAATCAGGTCTTGGCATTTATTAAAAAAAAAAAAAAAAAGTTGCTGTCCAGTTGATTCTGAATTATGAAGATCTCATGGGTGTAAGAGTAGAACTGTACTACATGATTTTACTAATGTTGTTTTTTTTTGGAAGATCCCCAGGGATTTCTTTTTCTTTTTTAATTTTTATTGTGATTTGGGTGAAAGTTTACAGAGCAAATTCACTTTCCATACAACAGCTCATATACAATTTGTCTCATGACACTAACTACAATTTACCGCAATGCAACTACTCCCCTCCCATTTCCTCCCCATAGTTACTTCTTCCCTGAGTCCTTCCCTCCATGTACTCCTGCCCCCTGAGCTGTCTCCCTGTGCATACCCAGCCCTTCTATTATCTCATGAATAATCTCTTCAAGGAGTATATCTACCTAAGGTAAATGTTGAGCTCATAAGCCTATCTTTTGTTTAGCTGGAAGCCACAGGAGTGAGTTCAATACCAGACCTGAAGGGCAGCTATGGACCATAGACTCAGTGGTTCCATCAGGCTCTATCAAACCAGCAAACTTGGTCCTTTTTTTTTTTTTAAATGATTTTGAGTTTTGTTCTACATTATTCTCCCACTCTATCCAGGATCACTAACTGAGATCCCCCTCTAAGTGGTTGACAGTTGTAGCCACACACCATCTAATTCATCTGGTCTCATAGTTGTATAGGCTGAGGATCACACGATGTACCAGTTGCTGGGACAAATTGTTTCCATGTGTCTTTGATTTCCTTCATTTTTCTTTGCTCTGGATGAGTAGTGACCCATCATTGCATCTATATGGCCACTTGTAAGCTTTTAAGATACCAGTCGCTACTTGCCAAAATACAAAGTAGAACAATGTTTTTGTATAGTATGTTATGCCAATTGAGCTTAATGTCCACTGTGACTATGGTCCCAAGCCCACAGGTCCAACAGTTCACTCCCTCCAGGTAGCTGGCTGTGGCCAAGAGGTGACCACAACCTTGTCCCTTGTCAGCTCTGCTATATACCTGTTGTTGTTGTTGTTGTTATGTGCCATCGAGTCAGACCTGACTCGTAGCGATCACTCCTTGGGTCTCCGAGGCAGTATCACTATGGAAGTAGATTGCCCCATCTTCCTTTCGAGGAGTGGCTGGTGGGTTTGAACTGCCAGCCTTCTGGTTAGCAGTCAAGTGCCTTAGGCACTATGCTACTAGAAATTCTTATAGAACATAAAAATACACTTATAGAAACATTGTCTGCCAACCTTATACAGGGTTATGGGCACACACCCCTCTGCATAGACATACATCATTGTTCAGCCTGTCCATCCATCTATCCATCCATATATCCATAATTGCCTTCACCAACAACACAGAACCATAGGTGCAAAAGGGTTCATCTTTGATGTCTATACCTCCTATGCACC